TCAAAACAAGCCAAGGTGTGAAGTATTCGGATCACAGGAAGCCAGAATAGCTTTGACAGTTGGGAAAATTTACTGTGCCCGGGTTAGAAGTTAGATCGATTTTGCGAAATGTAATACTGCGGAATCGTCGCTCCTGGATACTACGATCGTCGCAAAACATGGAACAATTATGGCAACCCTAATATCTATTAATTTGCTGATCTCGATTCAACCATCATTGGTGAGATTTTTCTTTCGTATCTTCCATCATGATAATATTAACCTCTATCGCGACCATCATATCCACCGTATCAATTATACCTATCATCGTCCGATTTATCTGGCATCTCTTCTTCAGAGTCAGTGATGGGATAAGGCAACGCAATAAGGAGAAGAAACTTCTGCGTGAGGCAATTGTCCAGGAACCACCTTCGACTTTCCAGATTCCTATCTCTACTCTGAATAATACTATGAATTCGACTTCATCTGGTTTGCATAAGCAAAAAAATGAGCAGGGTTTGATTCGGGAAATTTTATCATCCAAGGAAGAAAAAATACTGGAGCTATCAAATCATGTTACTTCAACAACTCAATCTATTTCAGACATATCCCAGCTCCCGCCAGATCGAGAGAGGAGTGGAGATATTATTAGTCTTTATAAAGACGCATGCGATGCTGAAGATGATGCAATCAAAGCCAATAGAAAAGAAATACTGTGTTGGTGCCTCTTTTCTAGGGAATTCAAAAGCATGTATAGAGATTTTATGATCAACGATGGAGTTGGGGAGAAGAAAACGAAAGGACTTGTATACGATTTTATTATCAAGAAACTTCCAGATATCAAGCATAAAACCTTATATAAGCAGATACAAAGAGCTTTAAGAATCGATAATTTATTCGAAAAAATAGGAATGGATAAGATTCAATACATAAAAACCTATAGTGTGGATACTATTTCAAAATTTTCTAATTTTCAGATTCAAACGATTATAGATCACTTCACCGAAAAACCAAATATAGAATTCACTGATGATCCCGAGAATGAAGAATAAGATAACGATCAGAATAATGTAACAGAGGTACAAGTGAATCTCTTAGACTCAGCTAAGGTAAGCATTTCAACCGCACCTATTAATTTAATATACGTCTCTGCGAAGCGTCTTAACGATAATTCTTCAGATGGTTTCTTTAAAATCAGTCCAGTAGCTGTGAGTACATCATCAGTGTCTTAGGTAATATCATTTAAGAAGTTCAGGCTTCTGATTTCTATCTTGCCTGAAGATCCCAAAAAGAAATGAAAATATATAATTAGGTTAGTGCTAGAGCGGTTTCCTTCTCTATATTTAAGCGATAGTAGTAAACGTGATGATCAATTTAATCTTAATAACTCAACGCTCTGTCCATTATGTAATGAGAACCATAAAAAAGAAAGTTTATGGAATGATATAAGAGGTGAATGGGATGCTAGTGAATATCGTGAAGAACAAACTTATCGTATCAAATGCAAAGATCCTCTTAATTACGAAATCCTAATAGTATCTGTAAAAGCATAGAGGACGGCCGAAGAATAGAGCCTGTGCAATATGATTAGCATATATGATTAGCATATATATATTTTGCATTATTTTTTCTTATTACTGCGCATTATTTTTTAAGCTACAATCATCATGTGATCAGAAAATGATTGGCTATTAATTATATGACACTTATAGCAATATATGTGTAAAGTATCACTTGACACTTAGCCTCGAGGGAGCAATGTCATATGATACTCACAATGGCATATGTGTAGAGAATCACTTGACATCAATCCCAGAGGGAGTAATATTATATGACACTTAAAACAGTATGGTTACTGCGGAGAAGTGTAATAATAACGTATTATTGGGTACTATGCATGACATATATCTCTGAATAATTTTTTTATTGATCGATGAAAAAAACATTTTATTAATACATGAAAAAAATAAATACAGGACTCAGAACATAGCTCATGATACATATTATTTTTTAATATTTTCTTTTGATCCTAACCCTCTTACTAGTTAGAGAGATTTATGACAAGAACATAATATATGCTATATTTTAAAAAATAAAAACGTTGTCAAAACTCAGCCTACAATACATAAAATTAGCTATAGCGTGAAGTGATCACTGCTTCAGACTATTGATCTAGCCAACCCTGGATCAGAATACCACTGCAAATTATCTCACATACTTAAATCTAAGAGGTGCTGAAGACCTTGAGCTAAAATCTGTCTACTAGAAACATTGTTCTGTATAAGATGATTTCTAACTGCTCTAATGAGATTGGGAGGTGATAAAGTTTTCTCGAAATTCTCTATGTGGATATTTGGATTTAGCTTATTTACAGCTCCTTTGCTAATTTTATAACACCCCCTTAAATTAAGATATTTTAAAATATGACATGATCTAGCAATTTCTTCGATAGTTTTATCAGTAATTTTACAATAGCTAAGGTCGAGTTGTTGGAGCTTTGGGCAAGAGCAAATAATATTACAAATTGATATTTCAGAAACTCTGTGCAATTAGAAATATTTAGATATTCTAATTTATGACATGAATCTGCGATTGCAGTTAGACCTTTATCAATTTTCCATTGAAATAAATTACCTAAAACGGATATATTAAGATACTTCAAATTTGGGTATGATTTTGCTATTAACTTTAGAATTTTCTCAACGGACTCAGACTTCATACTTCCTTCAAAATCTAAATGAATTATATTTTGAAAACTGCGTACAATACTTTGATTTTTTTATTTGAAAGCCGGTAGTCTGATATTTTAATATGAGTTAATTTTGAACTATAAATTAGTTTACGTTCTCCCCTATGTACTATTTTTAAAAATCTTTTTAATCGAGTTCGATCATTTATACCATTTAGCTCAATGCGTTTCCATAGAATAGAAGCACTGCATCTATACCATAATCGAGAAACAAATAGAACGAGATAGAGTGATTTATCTATCAATAAGAAATGTAAAATATGTTCTAGTAATTTCTGTATATTAAAAACGCTTATATACATCATGCTCCGCACCTTCGGCTAAATAATGTGTATTATATACCGTATCTTTAATTGAAAGTGCCTGGCTTGGCCTATTTTAAACTATTAACCGCTTAACCTTCTTTGGTTGCGCTCTTCTTCGTTACTTATGAGGAACAGCCTCGTTCTTTTATCACAATTCTCTCGACTGAATCAGATTCTTTGAAAGGCTTATACAAAAAGAGAAACCCCTCTATGCACAGCGCTTTTTGATCCTTTTTTACCAATCAGCGACGGCCGGGCGGT